TGTGAAATTCTTGGGAGATGTCTGGTTGGGTAAAACTAAAGTTGTTCCTGAAGCAGTTATAGACAAGGTCCAGGCTTTCCCCACCCCTACCACCGTAGTAGTATTACAAGAGTTTTTGGGTTTTTTGGGCTATTGGAGAGTGTTTATCCCATACTTAGCACAAATTCTGAAGCCCTTATACTGGCTGGTATGAAAGGCAGCAGGTGGGACTGGGATGAGACATGTGCAGCTGCTTTTACTGCTGCCAAGTGGGCAGTCAAGGCTGTATAGGCCTTGAATGTAATGGACTCATCAAGGCCCTGTGAGCTAGATGTTCATATAACTGAAGATGGTTATGGATAGGGCCTTTGGCAGCAGCTTAAATGGACATGCCAACCTATTGGATTCTGGTCACAACTACGGAAAGGAGCAGAGGTCTGGTACATCTTGATAGAGAAGCAACTGGCTGCTGTGTACCACAACTTGCTGGATAGGGAGTCCATCGGCAGCATAGCTCCGACCAAAGTAATAACCACCTACCCCATCATGGGGTGGGTGCAACACTGGACCCAAAGGTCACAGAGTGGCATGGCACAGACACCTACACTGGCCAAATGGAGCACATATTTACAGCATACAGCACCCTCTCTACTAGCCCCTTAAGTGGAGAACTCCAATGCTCATTGAGGCCAGTGACCTATACCAGTGAAGAGAAGATAGAACTTGCTTTTGAGCCATTGGTAGCTGAGACTCCTTATCAGGAGGGAAAAGCCCCTATACCTGAAGATGCTTGGTTCACAGATGGCTCTAGTTGTGGGCAGCCCCCAAAGTGGAGGGCTGTGGCTTTTCATCCTTAGACTGAGACAATATGGATGGAGGATGGGGAGGGGAAGAGCAGTCAGTGGGCTGAGTTCTGGGCAGCATGGCTCATGATCACCCAGGAGCCTTCCCCATAGCTGTCTGCACTGAGAGCTGGGCTATCTATCGGGGCTTGACCCTGTGGCTACTGACATGGTACCATGCCAACTGGATGGTTGGTCACGGGTCCCTTTGGGGGCAAGAGTTGTGGCAAGACCTATGGGCCTCTCGGCAGACTACAACTGTTACTGTGTATCATATGACTGGCCATTTGCCTTTGGCATCCCCAGGGAATGATGAAGCACATTGGCCCAGGTGCACTGGCTAGAAGGAAAGCCTGCCTCTGATGTGGCCCAATGGCTACACCAGTGTTTGTTGCATGTGGGGCAAAAGACAATGTGGGCTGTAGCCCAACGGTGGGGCTTGTCATTGACCTTTGAAGAAGTACACAAGCCCAGAAGTAGTGCCTTGTGTGCACAAAGAGGGATTTACATTGAGTCTCACAGCAACATGGAACAATAGTAAGGGGGCCAACAGTCCTTGTCAGGTTGCAAATAGACTATATTGGGCTCTCCCCATGTCAGAAGGATATCGGTATGCCATGACTTGTGTGGACACACCTACTGGACTATTAGTTGCTTTACCTACATGTCATGCAGATCAGCAAACCACCAAGAGGGGCATGGAGCATCTCTTTGCAGCCTATGGCCGGTTGCAGGTGACTGAGAGCAATCAAGGCACCCACTTTACTGGACATGCATTATAAGAATGGGTGCAGCAATTAGGAATAAAGTGGAAATTTAATGTACCATATAATCCTACTGGGGCAGACATGATAGAGAGATACAACGGTTTGTTGAGATCTGGCCTGAAGTCAGACACCAATAGTCTATGGGGCTGGTCAGTTTGCCTATGGACAGTGCTGTGGCGCTTGAATGAGAAGCCACATAAAGGAGCTCTTAGCCCTGTGGATATGCTCACACACCTTGCTGCCTGTCCTATACAATTGTATGTCCAAACCAAAGAAGAGCTATTGAAGCCTGGATATGGCCAGCAGAGCAACATCCTGCTGCCAGCCCCTGCTGCATTAAGCCCTGGAGACACTGTTGAATGGACCTGGCCCTGGACATTTTGATACATGGACCAGTGATGGCTGGCCCTTCTGACACCTTGGGGGAAAGGCCTGGAAGCTGGCATCCTGTGTATTCCTGGAGTAACAGCTGAATGGCCTCCAAAAGTCACAGTAGTGTACCCAAAACGTCCAGGAGGTAAGAGCATTTTGTGGGGAAATTTTGTATTTTCTTTTGGTATCAATATAAAATCACTGTGGCAACATCGTGGTTACTAGATTCCCCCCTTTATCAATTCCCACCACATACCCCATTATAGTCACTGTTCATCAGCGTAGAAAGATGCTACAGAGTCACTACTTGTCTTCTCTGTGCTATACTGCCTTACCCACACCACCCACCCTACATTATGTGTGCTTATCATAATGTCCCTTATTTTCCTTCTCCCTCCCTCCCCACCCACTCTCCCCAGTCCCTTTCCCTTTGGTAACTGTTAGTCCACTCTTGGGTTCTGTGAGTCTCCTGCTGTTTTGTTCCTTCAGTTTTGCTTTGTTCTTATACTCCACATATGAGTGAAATCATTTGGTACTTGTATTTCTCCGCCTGGCTTATTTCACTGAGCATAATACCCTCTAGCTCCATCCATGTTGTCGCAATTGGTAGGATTTGTTTTCTTCTTATGGTTGAATAGTATTCCATTGTGTGTGTGTATATATATATATATATA